TCATAATTACCAAGTTATTTGAAAACATGCTCCTAAGTTTGCTCAACTGACTACTTCTTCTCTGGGGCCCATTTCCGAGTAAAGGGCAAGGGCTTTCTTATGATATTTTTGAGTCTTGGCATATTCACCACACTGACCAGAAATAATTCCAAGGTTTCCGTAATCGGCTGCTTCTCCTCTTCTGTCACCGATTTCCGTTCTTATCGTCAGAGCGATGAGAAGGACTAACGCTCGAAACGTCAGCCTTTAAACTCTTTACGTTGGCCAATTTACGTTTTCAACTTAGTTGTTAACACTAAATTACCTGTTGTACTCTCCCATCGACGCAGAGACCTACCCCCTTTATTGATTTGAGCTACAGATAATTTATTGGCGGTCTCGACCATATAACAGGTTTATATTTGACAAGCATCCTTGGTTTCGAGTGGAACACTGAACCATTTCAGTTATTTGATGTGTTTTTTTTACGTCGGTGACTCTTTGCTTAGTGGTGGATCTTTTTATAGTTGAAGTTCTTTCTTTATTATTATGATTTTCTTGCTTGTTTGTTTGGTTTTCTTTTTCTAATTTCGCCGTTGTTATCTCGTGGAAAGTTTTTTTAATTTTTTTTTTTTCGTGTTTTATTTCCGCTGCAGTGTTCTCTCTACGTTGGAATATAACAATCTCTTGACGAATGATTATTCAACATTTATTTGTGAATCAAACAATTTAGGGGATGTGATGTTTCCTGATGGAGGTTCCACTGAAGCGGAGATTGTCTGCAATGAAGGAATATTTTCTGGCTTATATTAAGATTCAGTAAGTACTCTTTCTCTCCAATACTTAATTTAGGGGTGCCAAATAGATCTTTGATTTTCACCAAGAAAGGAACTTTCCCATCACTGATCATGACATTTAATATAGGTGTACGTTAGTGGTTTATCCTTATCGTTGTTATAAAATGTTATCAGACTTCAGAGGTGCCGCTAAGGATACTTACAAAACAAAAGATCAAACGATATATGAGCCAGATACCAAAGAATAAGGACATATACTGTAACCAGAACTGAAAAACAAACTGTATAACCGATCACACTGAAACGTAATGAGAACATGTCCTCTTGAAAGCGTCGGTTTTTGATGAGAACGATAAGTCTTTTGGGTAAAGTTAGATAAGTTAAATGAGTTTTATATTACTATTCGTCCTGTAATCATTCCAAAACGTTTTTGGATTTCGACAGAGAGGTAAGCTAATCTAAAGACGTCTCAGTGTTTTTCGCAGTTTTTTTTTAAAGTTTCTTGCTACGAAGACCTTTTGAAATATCTGTAGTTGGTTCTACCGATTCAGAGAGCTCCAAAACTCCATGCAAGCAATTTGTTTTCACATTGAGTAAATAAAACTGGAAGTTTAGGAAGCCAAAGGTAAGCCTAACATCGGTTATTTATTTTTCAATTGGTAACTTAAGTTCCGGTTGATAGAAATGTGGCTGGTGTAAATCTGACCTCAAAGCCATCAAACAAATTCGCATATTACAAAACATCAACCGGCTGTGATATCAAAGACATGTCTTGAACAACCAAGTTTAAAGTAACTGTTTCTCCTCCCTAGTTTAGTCAAAACAGCTAAGATGAGCTATATGTTTTCATAAAGGAATGATTTAAAACACCTACAGGCGAACACAAAGAATGTCAAACCTATACTGTTGCTTACGGATTTGGATTCCTGCAACAAATAAAACTATGAGGGTATAACTAAAAGTTTGGCTCGTAGTTTGTTGTACTGTTGTCATGCCAGTCTTGATTTAAGTGCAAATAATCCGCAAACCTAAAACTTCCAAGCAGTGTCACAGCCGTGAATTAATAAATAGCTATAAATGTAGGAACTATTAAAATCGTGACACCAACTTGTACGAGGAATCTTAATACGCTTTTAACTGACAAACGCAAAACTGAGTTGAAGGTAGGAGTGATAGGCTCCTGAAAACGTTCATTTTGCTTGTCTGTCCCCAAACAAAGGCAAAATAATATCATGATCGGATAACATTTTTAATGTTTCATATTTAACAATCAGCTGCAGTCCATTAATTAAATTGCTTGTGTGAAGAGTCTTTTTTTTAATTTACAATCAAACTTATGAAATTCGATTGATCAATTAGAAACGATTGGTTTCGCTTTGCATCTGATTGGTTGAGGAGGTGGTGCAAATTATACCTAGTAAAATAGCGGATTGAAGTAACAAATACATTGACTAAGGATTGATAGGTATCTAGAATAAATCTTATAAAATTTACCTCACACTCCGTCCGAGGCAGTCGTCGAAATAACCTACTTTTTTCATTTGTGTACGTTGCTGTGTTGCATGGAAACAAGAGAACATAAGGGGGAAGCAGGATAAATTTTCCTTCTTAATGTTTATTTAAACGGAAGAGACTTACACTTGTGGATCATTGGCGGTAAAATACTGTGATGAAATGATGAAATGATGAAATGGTTAAAAATGTTGAAGAATGTGCACCACGGTGGTGACAGTGGGTTTATCCTACCCTCGTACCACCCCCCTTTAAAAACATTATGAAAGCAAGGGCCATCACGTATTCAGTCTACAAAAAAGACACTAAGCCAGCGTGACTGCTATCTTAACAACGGGGAAGGGTGAGGGAAGGAGTGGGTACTCTCCAGGGTTTACTCAAGAAAGATCTCCTCAAGTAATACCCCGTTAGCCTTTCGAAAACCTTTTTAAACAGGAACCTCTTATGTATACGTTCCTTGTAACCCTTTCACCAAATTGATGAAAAATCTCGGGCGTGTCTGTTCTCAAAATGTTTTTAAATGGCTCCTCTATTTACCTGATCAAAAGATTCCACGTATAATTAGAGCTTAAAAAGGAACTTCTTTTGAATGAACTAAACAAAAGGTGTCCTTGGGAGTAGGGGAGCGGCTGGTTTTCACTTTTTTTATTATTTGTTTGGGCAGAGAGACCTGGTGCCAACACCCCTAAGGAACTAGTGTGCACCATAAGGACCTGGCATGACATTTTTGCCGTTTCATCGTTTCAGCGGAATGACATGTTCGAGTTCCACATGTCGCTTTTTTTCCAGTCATCATCTTGAAAAAATGTTTTGTTGTTTCTTTTTTTTGCCCTGCCCCGATGTAATTTGGTGTAAATAAACCACAAAATCAAAGAAATAAAGGTTTCTTCAACAACAGAATGTGCTCTCTCTTGACTGAGATCATTCCTGTTTGTACTTATCAATACTGGAGTGCACAGTTATTTGGCAAACCATGGGACAACACGTCCCTCACTGATTTGCCAGCTCAACAATGCTTCCGCGGATTCTAATATGGAGAATTTCGTGAACATCTGTGGTCTCAAGCACTATTCCACTATTTCACGGAACTGAAACACTAACTTTGTGGTACTTTAACCTATTTGGTTTAAGTGGCTTTTGAGGAAACTTCGATATTAATTCGTAGATCTTACCGAGAGGAGGTAACGCTACTGGATCCTACTTTGTTCGTAGTTAATGTTAAAATTGATCCCGAATAATCCCGAGGTTAATCCAAGTTTACCCCGAAGCTATTCCCGAAGTTATCTGAAGTTAATTCGAGAGTAATCCGAAGGAAATCCCGACGGTAACCAAAGGTGATATCTGAGTAAAGGCTATACCAGGTGGACCTTAACGTTAACAGCTGTGTAAAAATCGTTAAGAAAGATTGTCGGAATTAAAAGAGGTTTTCTTTCTTCAAAGAGATTTTGTATATTTTTGCTTTGGAACGTAATCGAAGCGCATGATGTCTTTGTTGACCTCCGATGTATATTTGGTCTGGGATTTTTACTTCGAGGAGATACTTCTGAAACTAGAGTCACATAAAAAAA